TTATCTATTTTCTTGAATTAAATATAGATATGCGAAATCGTTGATTTTGTATGGGAAATGGGTGGCCCCCACTAGGGTGGCCCCAGTAAGGGTGGTTTGACTTAAGTCGTGGGAGCTTTAGTTCTCCAATACAATACATAGGTGGACTACCTAGGTACCTAGGTACCTAAGGTAGGTGAAATTAAGTTGGAATATCCGTGATAAGGTCGATTTGGGAAATAGCCATCTCTTGTTGAATGCTCTCTCTCTATCTGATATCTAATACTGACCCAATGGCATATATGAGGAAGGAGCCTGATACATACCTAGGTACCTACAGGTAGTACATGTAGTAGCCACTCCTAATTGACGCCATTCGGAACTTTATTTGTCTCTACATGTATAACATTAGGTACCTAGGCGTTGACTTCAATAGGTACATATATGATAAGGCAGGTGCACGTGTCGTCTTAGGCTTCTGCCATCACAGCATACATGTAGATACCTACATAGGTAGGTAGGTAGGTAGGTACCTAGGTATGTAACATTAGCCCGTAGTCACAATCGACATCACTTTGTCTATCACCGCCTTTAGGTATTATTGCCTACTAAGTTTTAAATTATCATTCTGCCCACTACTAAACTTTCAACTCTTTTAACTTCTTTCATGCAACAATACTCTCCGTGCTGCGAGTTGATGTATGTTCTGCCTTATTTCTGCCTTATCGAAGGCATTCGAACTTCTTCCCACATCTCTTTGTCTTTGATGCGTAATGTTTTTTGATTGCTTCGTGCAAACACCGCCACCTACCCTCTTGGTTTCACGCAACTTCATAATTTCAATACCTCTAACCTACCTCATGTAGCATCAAGAAGTGTGCTACTTAGATATTTGTTTCGTTGCAATTGCCTTCGCCTCTTTCCCTTTTCTGGATTTTCGCCACGCCGCTCATTTCCCTACTAGAGTAGTCCTGCCAACAGCACAGCCTACGTTTCCCTATAGTGGACCAATTATCTAGAACTTTCCAGTTGATTTCTAGTCGTATAGACACCCAAATTGCAACAAATCACATCCAAGAGAAGACCAACCATTATCCAAATATTCTAGACATGGATTTCCAGGGAGATATAGCTCAAGACGGCAGCAAGTATACATGTATGCCTTCTTCACTCGACTGTTTCTATTGTATCATATACTAACTTGCTATTAGCAAAGTTCTTTCCCCCAAACCCTGGTTAGTAGTTCCTCAACACATCCGAATGACCTTCTCTTAACCATATTTGCACTTACAGCTGTTCTCAACCTGGCCAACCATGCCAACCGGGAGCCTCTCATGCACTTGGTTCAGCAGACAATCCTGTACCACGTGCGTAATGGCAACCCGCTGGTTCGGCTGTGGAAGGATGCTTACGATGCTGGATATATTGAAGGCACGACAGCTCCGTATTCTCAGTACTTGTTAGCCGTGAGAAAGATGACTGGCAGTAAGTGTAAACACGTATATGAAATGATATCTAGTTATGCCTACTAACAACATAAGGGATGCTCAATAGCGAGTTCAATCAGGAAAAGACTAAGACCATGGTACAGGTTCAGTCTGAGATTCTCAAGGCTCTTGCTAAAGAAATCTCCCACGTCGGCACCCAGCCTATAGCCCAAGTTAAACCGGAGTCTCCGACCCTGGTCAAGATCGTTCAAGCTAGATTCAGCCCTCTTTCCCCTGAATTTTCGCCGGAGAAGTTTGCCGCGAAGTCTAACTCAGAAGAAGAACAACATCTTGCCGAGTATAAGCCCAGTGACGCCCGACTCGTCAGCTTTGAGGAGCGATGCAAGAAACGTGGACTACGAATCGCGTCGGCAAAGAAGTAGAGATGTTGTAGTCACGTCGTTATGTCCTGAATAAATAACGGCAACGTGGAGGTTGACTACTTGGAGGTGAATATGAAGTGTCTATTGATGTTAGCTTTTTGAAACCAGTTGCACCTGTAGATAGCTACTGCCTTAAGTAATGAAGTTGTCCTTGCCCTTTATATCCTTCCTGCTTCTAAATTGGCTCCGTTGCAACAAGAAGTGAATATTTAATTCGCACAGCTTCATTGAAAATCCAAAAGAGCTATCAACATGGAATCAATCCAACGCCTTATCCCAGCATATGTTGGGGTAGTCCATAGATCACCAATGTCTAGGTGTGTTTCTCTTTAGTTTCTTTTCACAAGCAAGTCCAACACAAGCAAGTCCAAAAGAAGCAAAACTGAACAACAAACGTAGAGTTACGCAAAAGAATATGTCATACTGACTTTCCAGGTTTCGTTATGGCTACTCTGATAGAACGACCCGGGCTAGGTGATATGATAATACAAAACACTACTTACTTACCTACCTACATAGGTACACGCAGAGTAAGAAGCATTTGAGGTTCTTCTACGTTCAAGATCCAGAGGGACGTCTGAAACAAAATACAACTACTATGTAGTACGCGGTTGATAAGCCAACAAAGACATGTCTTGTTAGAAGCGGCCTAGCCGATCCTGCTCAATGCATGTTCCCGAGTGCAGGCCCGTAATTTCATGGCAGCTGAAAGATGGGAAGCAAACAGAAAATAGTTCTAAGAAGGATGGAGCGGTCAGCAATCTTCATATTTAAAAACAGTTGAAGAGAATTGGTTCGAAGTTCTGTGAGCTGGAAGGTAAAGAGATATACCAAAAGGGCATGTTTAAGGTTGTCGGGGAAGCTGTCTTGACTCCTTGAACTCTTAACAATGACAACGTCAAGTGTAGGCTACCTAAGGGGGTTGGATATGAGGCTTAATAGAGTGTTGTATGATTGTAAAACAGTTCAATGCTATCGGTGAAAGAGGCAGTCTCAATACAAAAGCATGAAGTACTCTTGTAGCAAAATAGGTACGATGCAGATTGATTTAGTTCACGGGCACCTTGTTATATGTAGGTACCTACCTAGGTATTGTACCTAGGTACATGTAATGTAGCACATTATGTAAGCTAACAGGATATGTATTAACTTCAATTGATCCTAGCTAAACGCTAAACTAGCTCTGCATAACCTGGCGATTGCCGCTGTGGAGCTAAGTATCTATGTACTTATCTTAAGTACCTCAACTAAGAGGTGCTTCATTGCAACATAATCTATCAAAACACCACGAAAATATACCGACCATGCATATCATGTACGTATAACAACTATATACCTGTTGTAATTGGGTAGCATCTCGTTTGATTCTGTGTTGCGCTGTTACTATTGCACCAATATCACCAATGCCAAACCTCAGCTTTCGAGAAAAGGTGCCAAGCCGTAAGCTTCGATATGATTGCGGTTATGGACCCAGGCGTAGGGCAACCCTACCTGATCAACCCTGATCAATCTATCCCTACATCATTCTAAACCTGGGGGATCTTGACGGAACATTCCTTGAACACCATGTTTAACGGTTGCCGATCATCCCGCCTTGTTGTCCGTTGTGTCCATCTCAGCCTTTTTTCTCCCTTCGAAGTTCGCAAGATAAGGCATTACATACAAGAAGAGGCTGGGTAGTAGGGGGTAGTTTATGTACCTTGGTAAACTCGGTTCCCTTGTTCCAAAGGCGTTCACGGATTTTCCTGGCTCAATAAATACGTACGAATTATAGTCCCGACATCTTTGCTAATAACCAATATAGGAGGCCTAAACAGAAAATATGTACAATAAGAAAACAAATCCAGGGATGTCAGTACCTAAGATATGCACCGCTGCACAGGGAAGGAGAACCAATCATATTATAGGTCAGTCACACCACGGACAATATTCTAGAGTCAAGATCCCGGTATTGATAAACTTCTAACATCCCCCACATCGATACATTATCTTGACGTACTTATTCATAATGTCCTTGACTGTCAATAACACATGACGAGAATATCTATACACATTACTTTGGGAGCTTGGATTAACCCCAGAAGCAAGATCGTAGAAGAAAATTCGACATATCCATTTCCTTCTACGATTCCATGACTAGCCGTGTCGTGTGAGTCCCGTTTCAGCTAGGTAAACCGAAGAGGGGCTCTCAAATATCGCAAAAAGCAATAATAGACGCCACAGGCTCATTGATTATCGATAGCTATCAACATTGCCCACCCTTCCGAGACCTTGTGTTCTCTAGACTATCGATCCCCCCCTATTCATTCATTCAGTATTTCGGGCTCTTATTCTCGGTTAGATATTCGATTACGTGCCTACGAGTCTAAGACAGCTGGACTTTCTCGCGTGGCTTGGGACTTATCGTCTCCTATTTCATATTTATGCACCAAAGTGGCCTGATCGCGGAGTTACGCTTATGTATAGTCGCCAGTGATCCTCTAGCTCACCTTTGCGTTTCGTACTGGATACGCGTAACACGGGTCGAGCCTCTAACGCTGCGATTTGCGATATCCCAATAATCCTCGAATTATCACATTTGTGGGACGTGTCGTCACTAGAATCGAGCGAGCTACATGAGGCTCTAACAGACCCATATTGCATCACTGAATGGACTCTATTCAACTGAAGAATTTCGGTACCAGACTTTACGTTACACCACTATAAGCTGAACGTATTGACAACTGGACGAGTAGGCCATCTGCCTCGCCCCCGGTGCAATGTCTGGACGCAGTGCCTACGTCAGGAAAAAGATCACTGACACGAAGTCGGGTGTACGGTCTCCAGAAAACAGTCGCTATTCCGAGAGCGATGACGTATCAATCAATGACCCCGGCTTCCCACAGGGTACCGGATATGGTACAACGAATGCGCGATTCCTCAAGTTCTCCGAACCGCTAAGGGAAGCGGATCTGGTTAATTATCGCACCCGGATCGCAAACTTCGGCAACCCCAGTAGTGGAAGCCAGAGTGGTGCAAGTGAGTCCGGCAAGAAGGAGAGTGGCAGTAATAATAGTATGCCGCACCAGGGACCGATGCCTGACTTTGCGTACGCTAGGACGAGGAAGCCGGTTTTGAGGACAGAGGACGTATCGGGAATAGAACGCTCGGGATTTCGAAGCGCAGTAGATAAGAAGAGCGACGAGTTCCGTAAAAACCTTACGAAGGCCTTCACATTCGGAACTAAGAAGAAGAAGGCTTTAGGAACTGCCAGGTCCGAGTCCTCTGCTGCGATAAGATCTTACCATGATTCCGAGTTTTTGAAAGTTCACGAGCTTCCTTCGACGTCTATACAAAGCCCGCAGCAATTAGTATGGGATCCGGAGTATCAGCAGATAGTCTCTCCGCCTCCGTCTACCAAACTGCCCCCAGTCCCTCCCCCTTTTACGACGCCCCCAATCAAGCGTTGGATCGGTGCTGGGAGGCCTGTTCAACGATGGAACAAACTCCGGAAAGACCCTGAATTATGGGATCCTAACGGCGATGTTATAATCTTCTTCGGTCGCAAAGGGCAGAGCCCACGGCCAAACCCTTCTTTCCGCTTGTCGTCTCATATTATCGAGGCGACAGAATCTCGTTTCCTTATTACTCTACTTCGCGAAGGGTCCACAGAGGACGAATGTGACTTACGAATGCACACACTCCAATCACCTATCGGTGCTCCTCCGATGCTACGGCCGCATGGTTCACATCCGCAACTTGGCTACAATCTGGGCCGGAACGGTCAGCCCACACCCCCAGTATCCGAGGATACTAGTCTTACAGACGCCGACGGCCAGATCTCTTATGAGATGTATTTTCCAACACCACCGAACATGGGCAAGCTTGAAGCGCATCGGTACGCTATAACAACTCGCAACGTATTCGCGCTTCTGTACCACGCATCCCTAGTTGGCCTGTCACTTTCTCAAGCGTTGTCCGACTTGCTAACACGTCTTATGGCTTATATGCCTTCCGAGGCAGATAATTTAGGTACTATTTTAAATTACCTATCCGCTCGCGGTATTGATGACTGTCGCAACGACCCAGAAACAGCCGTGTCCCTTCTCGCGTGGTCAGAAACGCCAGAGGTACGATGGGAAGAGGGTTGGTTCGAGGCATTTGTACATTGCACCGGGATGTACTCTCGATTAGAAGCTTGCAAAGATTTCAGAACCATCACGCCTATCACGCGGGCTCTTCTAGAACGAGCTTGCCTTGAGACGCAGCTTCGCGTACAAGCCGCGGAAGAGCGTCTCGCCGAGTTTTCTTGCGGGGATATCTGGCCAACTGCCGGTCCGGCCACAAAAGGTGCTGCAAGGGACGCCGCCGAACGCTTACGCCAATTCTTCATATCGCATTACTCTAAGATTCATGGCTATTGGCCTCCGCCTGAAGCGGGTGCGAGAACTGAGGAAGGCGAGGAGACATGGCTGAGCAGGACGTTGGCAAAGCAAATGCAAAAAGATTTCGGCGCACTTTACGACTACTTGGTTAACCGAGATATTGTATGGGATGAGTCGGAGACGCGCAGTAGTCGAAAATGGATGATGGTCTCCGAGAGCGGTAATAAGTCGTTCGACTCAGATACACCTGACCTACCTCTCACGGATATGCTGATCGAGTTCGACAACCGCATGCGATTTCCTCATATCCCGCACCCTTATCCGCTTGTTCCTGAGTCAATCCTACCAAACGCTCCAGCTTCGTCTAGTTCAAGTAGAGAAAGATTTAAAAAAGAGAAAAATAATAGTAACAACACAAAACAAGCATCCGACGACCGCATTGCCGAGAGGCGTGCGCAGCTAGCGTATACCGAGGCAACTAACATATACATCTTAGGATCTAACTTTACGCAGTCTGACCTAATAGAAAGCTTCGTCAAGTTTGAGAAGGCAGACCAAATCGGCAGCGTAAACCCCTTCGTCGCCCGCCGCGGCCGCTGGGTACTTATCTACGTAATCTTGCAAACCCTGGCCAGCGTATCAGTCGATGCGCCCAATGTCCGATACAAAGATAACGTGTCATACCATCTCTCGCCACGCTTCAAGGGCACCAAAGCCCCACCGTGGAAGGGCGCATCGGCCCCAGCAGCCGAGGCCTGCCACGATATTTCGCACTGCTGGCTCGCGCCCCGGACGTGGCAGCAGAACAGCAGCGCTAGCGGCGGCGAAAGTGCCGACTCGGACACGTCCACTAATTCCAACGCGCACTCGGGTGATCCCGTATTGCGCATGATGCGAGCACAGGCACATATGTTCCCGCGGCCTCCTAGAACTGTGACCAGCCGTTCTAGTAACGGTGGGTATTATACGCCGCGAAGCGTACTGTCCCCAACCACTGTTTTGCCCCTGACACCTACTACGACGTGGGGTAGCTCGGACGATGCTGCCTCGAGTGTTGCTCGGCCGTCCTCATCAGCGGGGAATTATCAAGGCCACAGGAGCTTTGCCGGTTCGCGAGGTGCCAGGAGCGAACGCAGCTACGCAACGTTTGGGCCGGGTAGTGCTGGCTTAGGCGGCGGTAGACTTGAGGATGCCAGACGGCCGCAGGGCATGAGTACTAGCATGGGGATACGCCGTACGAAGGCGCCAGCACCACTAGACCTCAATTTAGACGTTACGCGAATGGATGGTTTCCTTGACCCTGGCCATAGCCCGTCAAGCGTAGGCGGCGCACCCATCCTAAGTCCAAATAGTTCTGATGGACTCGGACCGGTAATCCGCGACTTTGACGAACTTGAATCTGTTATCGAGGAGGATAGCTGAAGGGCTGTATTTGTAATAATACAAGCAGGTTTTTTTTGTCGGGATTGTGAGCGGGTTTTCTGGATAGGTGTAAAGGGGTTGGATAAGGGAAGCACCTATTTACTTATTACTGATATTTGATATGCGGGTAATGAGGATACGAGCTGAGGATATGAGCAGAGTACAAAGGAATGCATGTATACCTAGGTAATACCCAGAAAAGGCTTTGGGGCTGTTTTAGTAGCATATAGGTTAGGTTCATTGAGGTAGGTCAGAGGTTAGGTACCTAAGGTAATTGTCTTAGGTGGAATTATTAGGTATTTCTCGCTTGCAACAGCTTTTGTAAATGTTCCATCCGGTCCCGACTAACTCGTCCCGCTGCAATCACTTCACCACTATTATCGCCCCATTTCGCATCAATAAAATCAGGTCGGGGTTGATTGAACTTCTCGCAAGACACCCACTGCCTGCCCGCATCATTGATGCAGCTCATCTGCATAGCTAATGGACCTTTTCCGATCAGAGCAGTCCAACGTTCTCCGTCTCCAGACTCTGCTAGGCCCGCCTTCTCCAATGCTCCTATGGCACCTGCTGCCCAGTTATGACAGTTGCATTCGCCATAAAATGGTAGCTGAGTCTCGTCAGCGCCAAAATGGGCCAGTACTTAGTTGGCGACTCTGGCTTCTTCGGCAGACAAGTCGATGCGTATATTGCATCGCCCGCGAGGAGCCGGGTCGGCATCAAACTTCTGCTCTGGGCGCGACTCATAGATGAAGCGTACCTGGTCCGGGCAGCGCGCGTGGTGTAGATGGCAAGTTATGGGCTGCGGTACGCTACTGTGGACTGCGATAGCGATGTGTCCGCTAGAGTCTTCAGCCGCTTTCTCGCCACCCCAGAGGACGACAGATACGGTGTATCGATCCACCTCCTCACCACGGGTCGCTGTAAGCATGGTAAGGGATGATATGTGTTTGTTATTATTTGCTATTCCCAAGAAAAGTATAAATTGTAAATATGGCTGGAGGATAAATAGTACCTAAGTAGGTAGAAATTGGGAATATACTTGAGGTACCTATGTAGGTACATACATGTAAATAATATACATGTCCATATGAGGTTAGGTACATAGGTACCTAATCTAGGATTTAGGGCGGGCGTTTATGGGAACTGCATGTGTGATTCGTTACTGGATGGGCGATCGCTAAGGTTAGCGGCTGGTGCTTAAGGTTTTACAACAATTAAAACAATTATAAACGACATTATTTTTTACAACCATTGTGAATTACGAATTACTTATAAAAGCAAATAGTCAAATAATCCATTTAGGTTGTCTGCATTCGATGCATACTATCTAACCTAGGAGGTAATCAGCGGTGACCCTTAAGGTGCCTAGCCGAGGATCTTATTGAACATCTGATTCATGATATTGGTTTCAAGCCAATAAGGTGGAATATACCGTTCTACCTGGCGTATGAAACTTGGCTGAAATAGGCCGTGCCAGGTTGCTTTATACCACTCCCAGTAGGCCGGGTAGAATCCTGCTGTATACCAATCCAAGATAACCACCGTCATATCATCCTGTACGAGTATATTCCCGGTATTCAGATCTCCATGCGTGAATACAATCTCGTGGTTGCGGAGAGAGTGCACGAGTTGCCGAATCGCATATCTTTCGTTATATTCCCGTGATTCGGGATCCATATTATCAGATCCAGGACTAGCTCGCGACAAAGCTTCCATGATCCCTTCGTTAAATCCAAATTCATCGGGATAAGGGCCGTACTTATGGTCGCTGTGATAAAAATCCCATTGAAATTCGCCCGCCACGCAAGGGCTACGATTAAATCCGCCTACATAGTCACCCTTAATGCTACGCATCTCGCTCATATAGCGCTGCATTTGCTCAATCACTACTTCTCTGTCTTTCTCGGAAGCACTTTTTCAGAATACCTACAAGGATTTACCATGCTCGAAAGACATGATGATATGACCTGCCCCGTTGAGTACATAAGCGCCGAGAACTTTGGGGCATTTGATACTGGTATGTTGGGAAACGTAGTCCATGGCTTCGGCTTCGGCTAGGGAGACCTTGGGTCCATATTTGACCAACGTGTCTTCATCGACCTGCCGAAATTGGCTGCCAATCTTGCCAGGAAACGGATCGAATGAATCCGGGAGGTCTTGGGGATCAAGCACGTAAGGAGGGGGGCCGAGCAACGACGAAGTTATTAAGAGAGGCTTCTCTTGTCGCTCGGAACCAGCGTCTGTAGGTCCCTGGATTTCCATACCCGCTCCGTCGAAGATGAGATATATTGCCTAGGTAGTTAGGTTTTATGATATGTACTAAATACGGTTTCCCAATAGGATCTACATGTACTTTTTAGGTACCTGTCCTATGGTAAGTGCTCAAGGTTAATACAATGCCAAATTCATATAATATTAAGGAAGTCAAGAAATTCCAAGCAAATATGTTATATATTAAGGGGCCCGTTATCGCTTTTCTTCTAGTTGCTGCTTTCCCAGCTCTTCACTTTCCAATGACTTCTCTTTACTTAACAGAGAAGGCAAGAATCCTACCCCAGCTATCCCCGCAAGCGTCCAAAATACGGCAGAGACAGACATCCTATATGCCTCAATCACTTTATCCAATAACTCGGCTGTCATATTTCGATCCCTCAAAAGTGGTACGAGGCCGACCGCCTCCCGTACATCATTCAAGATAGCCAGGCCACCCGGCAAGGGTCCAAGCAAGTCGATTTGAGACCCGAAAACGTTGTTGAACACTGTAGAGCATATAGCTAAGCCGATAAGCCCGCCAAAGAGTCGGAAAGAGACTAGGATTCCGGCAGCGAGACCCATGTCGTCTGCATTCGGCAAGCTAGCCTACAGGGGAAGGTTCAAAAGTGCAAACAGACTGCCCATCCCTATGGCGAGGGGAACCTGAAGGGAAGCTTTATCCGCAAGGGTGGAAGAACGGTCTAAGAGGCTGAAAATTCCCACGCCGACTGCAGCCAGGATCCAGCTAGTCCAAATAAGCAGCCGGTACTTGCGAATTATTTCCACTGTGATAGCTGAGAACAGACCGAAACCGGCGGAAATGCAGCAAAGTGGGAGACAGATGACGGCAGATTGTAACGGGCTGTCCAAATATACGGCCTGGAAAAATAATGGGGTATACATGACAACACTATAAGTAATCATGCCATGGAAAAATGATGTAAGGAGTGCCATAGACGCTGTGAGGCTCTTAAAGATTCGATATGGAAAGACGGGCTCGATGGGTCGTGATTCGTACCATGCAAATATGGCCAACACTACAGCGCCCAAGCACAGCGGAATCAATGTCTTATAGGAAGACCACGGGAACATGGCACCGGCCCAGGCAACCGGCGACGCGAATAGCGTGCATCCGACGGTGAACAAAGCCATACCGCCCCAGTCAAGTCGACGCATCTTCTCCCGGAACGTTAGATTAATAGGTTTCAGACTTAAGAAAAGCAACGCCAGGAGAAGATCTAGAGCTGATAGAGGAAGATTGATCCACCCAATCCACCGCCACGTTACGAATTGGCTGAAGACACCTCCAAGGATGGGACCGAGAATTGTGCCTCCCAGCATCGGGATAAACAGATATCCGATGTACTTTGGACGTTCCTTTAGGGTCGTTATATCAGCAAGGATTATTTCGCCCAGCACGTCTAAGCCTCCGGCCCCAAACCCCTGAATAACACGTCCGGTAATCAAGACACTCATGCTTCGTGACACCGCGAAGATTATAAGCCAAGGATGAAGAAGAGGAAGGATGAGTAAAGAGGTATCGCGCGGCCGATAACATTGGATATGCTGGTATATATTGGTTGGACGACGCATACCGCAAGCAAAAATGCTATGCTGGCCCAGAAAGCCTCCAGTGTAGTTCCGTTAAGCTCGTGGGCTATGACCTAGACTATTATTAGGTAGTTCAAAACCAACCATGATCAGAACAAAATGTCATACCGGTATCACAACACCAAGGATGTTAGCGTCTATTGAAACAAGAAAGCACATAATGTTGATAGTTAGAAACGACATATAAAAGGCAAGCGGTTTCCTCCGCGAGCCATCATATTGCACCAACGGCTCAGGAGTATTGGCATTGTGGTTTGCGTGTTCAAGGTCAGGGGGCGAAGAGTCAGTGAGGAGCGCATCAACGGCCGGAACCACTGGCTTTTCCGAGTTCTCCATTTGACAACAATAGTAACGGCGTGGTAAAAATGGAGAAAATGCTATACTAGTTCGTTCTTGTCGCCGAGTGTTATAAGAATCAGGATATCGCCATCAATCCAGAAAACTACACCAAAACGGCGATCGTGGACGCCGCGGAGCCCGTCATATGTAATTATGCATATATTACGTAAATTCATAATACCAATAGACTTGATATAGGCAGCCGTTTAGCAGCAGTTCATAAAGCGATCGAGCGGAGTCATTATCCCAGCACTTAAAGTAGCACGGATCACGGTGTCGCATCCGGTCGTTTAGAAATATTCTTAACCAACCATACCCAGGTCAAGCAGCTCGAATAGGAAATATGCCGAGTACTATTCCGACCCCATATTGCGAGAGTGAGTCTATGCTACAAGAAACACGTGTAGTTACGTAAAGGGGTGCTGTAAATTCTACTGCTAGTTCCTCTACCTGGTATATATAAGATCCTAGGTTAGATAGTTCGCAATCAAGCTGTTTAATTAGATTCTTTTAAGACCCCGATAAGTAGGAACATGATAGTTGACTCGAAGTTCCTTAAGATCCGGCTTCAATTACTTGAGACCATATTGAGACCATAAAGGCTGATGTATTTTATACTTTGAGGTAACGAAGTGGATGAAAAAGAACTCAAAATATTATCCTAGCCATAATGTACATATGATAGTCTTCGACGGCTATATCTTCCTGCTGAACGGTCCGAGAAGAGATGATAGGTAATCGGGATGGTGATAATCATTGCTATTTTAGACGAGGGTACTCCTATATCCTACTATTAGACTTGGGACTGGAGGATTATAGCCGATTGTCATGGCTTCAAACCCGAGAAAATTACATCTCCATTGTGGTCTTAGTTGTAAGGACTTTTGCTTTAACTGCAAGATTGAAATGAATACGAGGTTTTGGTACCTTTAACGAGGAATCCTAGCTAAGTTCATAGTTTGTTATGCTCAAGTCGAGTTGTATTCTAAAGTCTTGCTCGCTTTATAACAACAACGTTTCGAAATGAATCGGTTTACGGTATCTATGCTTATTGGACTCTATATCATTAAATAGTCTGCTCGTGACTGCAATAACTCATGTATAAAGCCCTTGATCTAAGTTTAAGGATTTATGATAACTAAAGCGCTGTTATAATTCCTAAAATATTTCGTACAACTATTAGATAGAGATCTTCTATGTAGTAAAGATTAGGGGGGAAGCTCACAGAGCACGGACCAGTTTGCGACAACCTTGGAATCTTGGAATATACACCGAGTACCTATTTCTTGACCAACCACCTCAGATCAAAAGGGTCCTAACCCCGCTACTTTTCTATAAATGGACTTGAGAATTAACGATTCCAAGTGGGAAGGATAATTATTTACAGCTGACATATACTTTTGCATGTATCCTAGGTGACACCTAACCCAGGACGATTACAGCCTTCTAAGCTGGCCATTACCTAAATCTCCCCAGGTGATCTCTCCCGACGTCATAAGTGTTCATAATCTCGTATGAGGAACCCCGCTATTCGGTTTACTCGTTCACCCATCCTTGATTTAGTGCAACAAGTGCAAATAGCGACAACGAGGTTATATGTAGGTACCTACTTTAGATACCTCCTAACTATAACATAACATAACTCAAGTTGAAGGTTACCTAGGTACCTAGTTAACTACCTACGTTAGTTGTAACTGGATAGATTGCGACTCGTTAAAACGCGTCATAAAATCATCCGGCTCGGTCTCAGCATCTCCTGTCTTCAATAATAGCGTATTGGTAGAGATTAACAGATCGAATCTGCAGACCTACCACTAAAAAGGCGCATAAGATCCCGAGACGGTGAAATCCCAGCCCACAACTCTACCAGCCGCCTTGCTTTGCAGCTCTTGGCGTGCAAGCCAATCCCGTCCCTAAATTCGACCTTCAGCTTACCCTCATCTTAAACTTGTTTCTTCAACTTGTTTCTTCAACTTGTTTTCTCCCTACTTACACACACCCTCTCTCACAATCGTCTTTCCACCTTCTTGTCGCCTTCTTCCTAGTCGCAAGCCTTCTACTTGCGCGCGCGCAACTGTTTTCTCGTTGTATTCGGATCGCACACGCTTGGAGAACCGGCAAAATGATGTTCGCTATCTTCTTCGCCTTTTGGCGATTCATGCAGATCATTACACTAGTAAGTTCTTCTCTTTCCCTCGAGAAAAGAATATTGGCATTGGCGCTGACGATAACTCCCTCGAAAGATCCCGACGGTGGGCATGTTGGCATATTTCGTCAACGGCTACGTGCAGCTAAATCAGCTCACGCCCAACTATATCCTAGTACTCTTTATCGTGTCGGTACTAGCTTTGGCGTGGTCTATCTACACGCTGTTTAGCTACCACCGCTCGTCTGCCAACGCGACCTTCGTCGCCGTCTTCGATCTTCTGTTTGTGGGGGCTTTTATCGGAGCGGTGTGGACGTTGCGCATGATTGCCACTGCCGACTGCACGCATATTACGCGCGGCGACCCCTACGACGTCAGCTTCGGTCCCTTTGGCAGCGCCTCCGTTACCAACTGGGACACTAACGTTGACAAGACGTGCGCTATGCTCAAGGCCTCCTTCGCGTTCGGCATTATGAATTGTGTCTTCTTCTTCATCACTAGCATTCTCGCGTGTCTACACGGCGATCGCGCAGGCACCGCTGACCGCACATCGTACTACCGCGAGACGCACACTCACCGCCACGGCCATCGCAGCAGTCGCAGTCCTCATAGCAGACACAGCACACACTCACACCGCCGCACCTATGTATAGGGTAGTGGGGCTTATTGTTATATATCTGGCACATATACAAGTGGTTGTACAAATGAGAACGATGGGATTCGGGAGTGTGGGAGTGTGGATCCGTAGAGAGGAATCGGCATTTTCTCACCATAACAGGATATTCGGAACGACTGATTTGTTTAATGTGGTTTGAGATGAGTTGCAATAGGGAATAGGCCCGATTCGATCCGAGACGACGTAACACTTGAGATGAGATGAGTATCTGATAGAAGCAAACGAGGTCGCGTATGCCTATTTTGATTCTCAATGATGATGAGTTTGATGATTATGACTTATTTCGCTTCTACGACGCTATAGTACCCATCTATGTGTCTAAACGCTTCATGAGCCGTGGTGGCTGGTTGTTTATTAGTTTAATATATCTCAATACGCCGTACATATATTATCAGTGTAATGACAGAATACAAGTGAGATAATGACGATATTAGGATTTCTCGTAATGTTATCCCTATTCCTTATTAATATGTTTTCGTAGACCATGCTATTTTTATACAAACGTATATGAATTAGTCCGAGTATAGGTTGCAATTAGTTAAATTTTATATCTGACGTCGTAAGATCAGCAGGTTCTAACCTGACTCTGCAAGGTATATACTTTATAGGCTGAGAAGTATGTACATTGCAGATGTTAGAAGTCATGGGTTCCTATCTTATCCACAAGAATATGACCTAGGGCGTGATATGTTCCTAGGTAGACATCATAACCTATGGGCTCGAGTCGCTCGTCGTATTGGACATCCATATTGTATGCTCGATAATAGTACCCATGTCTACTTAATATGGGAGCGTACGATTGGCGTGATGTGGCAAAAGGCGTCAATGGAGACGCATAGTATTATAGCCTTTTGGTTGCGAGGGACAGAATATCCGTGCTGACCCCTAACTCTAAGCCGATGCTCTTGAACGGGAGATATTTGCCTGGATCTTCCTACTGGTCGTTATACTGCTATAAGAACTCGCTATCCCATGATGCTTTTTATCCTCAGAGACCGAAGTATCGCTTGTTACCGATGTGACCTCATTTAATTGCCATCGGTAAAGTAAGAGGTATTTCACGCCCGTAACTGGTCCTGGCCCACAGTATATCCCCTCGCGACTCCGCTACGCCCCTCCTCAACGACAGTGCTCTCCTCCTCGCCATCGTTCTCGGCACCGAAGTCTGTACCTAAACCCTGCCAGGTTCTCTGCGATCTTAAGAATTCCGCCCCTGGGCTCGCAATACCGTTTACCAAGGCCACATCCCCGACAGCTCGTTTGGTGATTGCCGAGTTCGTACCTCCCCGGTCAGAGCTTAGACCGGCGACCTCGATTTCAGGCCCGCATCGTGGTGCGCTTCGGATAGCGACCCTCATAGGCCGGCTATGGCTCACGAGTTTGCCAGTACGGAGATCGAACTCGGGAGGTTCCGACTCTTCGTCCTCGACACCTCCTTCAACTCCTTCAGGTACTGACCTGGCCACATCTTCTTGTTTGGACAACTTCTTATCATTCTCGTCGGTAACCGGGGAGGCTTTGACGCCTTCAATACCACCCCACCACTCGCCCGTCCAAACCCTGTATTCGTCGCCCTGTAGCGCAAGACTAAGCTCGAAAGGTGTGATAACGGGCTTCCAAAGGCCTTCTTGCTCGACCAACCCGCTCTCCCAACATCCAACGACAACCCAGCCGTCCACCTCGGCGAAGTTAGCCAGCTTCGCGGCGTTTAGCTTGCCAACGACAATGATATAGCTCTTCTTGCCGGCGGCCGCAATCTGGCTTTTCAGTGTAGATATGGTGGACATATAGTTCTTTACGGAGAGCGTGTTGACTAAAATTCCAATGATGGATGCCGTGGCAAACCGGATTACTAGCGCATAGCGGCGGCGAAGTAAACCAGGAGTGGCGCTGGGGTCGGGAGATGCAAATGTCGTAGTATAAGGTGACGAGGGTGTCGAATATATCCTTAAAGAGGCGAGACGAGAGGATAGAGTTAAGAGGAGGGAAGTAGGAGGGGTTGAAATATGAAATAGATGGTACTCGTTCAAATTAATAGACGTATCGGGGGTTATAAGTTTACGATTTGGTATTGCTCCGGTTGGATCTCGCAATATTTCGGTCGCGATGAGGTTGGCATACCCCCTTTCCTTTAATAGCTTACTTATAAAACCAACATGCTCTTGAAACATGATATCAGCCATCACCACTACCTTATCGGCCTTCTCCGGGAACTCTTTCTCGAACGCCTCGACTATGTCGTCGTAGTCTAGCGTCTGCTTCGTGAATATGTGTATTACAGGTAGCCTTGAGGTTGGACTTAGACATGCACGGCCATAGTGTACTACTCCATCAGCATTCGCATGTTCCGCTGCGATCTCATCGACGCAGCAGGCACTATACGACGTGTCCGCCAGGATATATAAGCGCTGGCTCCGATCTTGTACCTCATTTTGGCCTTTTTCCAACTCTGAGCTTAGCGCGCTGACAACCCAAGGCGCATCTGGTAACATAGCATCGGGGAACTGAAGGGCTATTCGTTTCCAGCCATTCTGTTGGATCTCGGCGGCTGTTCGGGCGATCTCGTAAACTTGGTAAAGCTCATAGTCGGATCTATGAAGGCGCTTCGCTTGAGGGATCGCAGAAGACGATGTTGGGTCTTCGGTAAACGTATGTTCTGCTGGTGTCGAAAGGATGGGAGGCGCACTTAATTCAGATGACATGGCGAGAATAAAAAGGGGAAGGGGGGGCTTGTAAATTGTCTGAGCAAGAGTTAAAATATGAAAATTTTATTTTTATTATTATTTTCTTTTCTTCTGTCTTTGGAGGGGTAGGAGGGGTGAACTTCTATTCTATACCTACATGCAGGTAACGGGAGCAGCGGGTACTTTTATGCATGCATTAGCGTTTCTGTTAGTGGACCAATGTGTACCTACCTCATAGGTACATGTAGAGTGCCTTCAATGGGTACATGTACCTAGGTAGGTACGTACTAGTTAGCTGTGACCTATCAGCATAAACCTATTAGGAAACCTATATGAAAGTATCTCTCAGCAACTGTCCAAAGAGAGTATTTCCTCCCGTCATATCTTTTATAGTCGCAGATCATCTTCATATATGATATTATCTATCTTATCGGTTTGTCTGTATATCATATCTCGTAAAATCGTCGCTGCATTCCAACGAGACTTAACCCTTTGAATATCAAATTCAAAGCTTCACCTGGCCGGCATTCAACCGATTCCAGTCACTGTTGCCAAATTTCACGTACGTTCCATCTTTGAGCCAGAATAGCTCATCGTCGCCAACTAGAGTTGGGTTAACACCTTGCTCACGCAGTCCGTGTTTCTGCTGCTTATTCGTGCCCGTAACCGCTGCCGTAAGCCCCTTTCCTATTCTCAAGAATATAGGCACGGCATACTTAGGAAGTTTGTTACGCGCGTGCTCCGCCAACGACCGTAGTAGCGTGTCATCAAGCACTTCCTGGGTTAGCGTGAGTGCGGCACACCCAGCCCTTCCGTCGTGATTCGGTAGTTGCACACCATACACGTTGGCTTCCTGTACCGCCGGGTGCGTACCCAACGCCTCGCTCACTTCTGTCGTCGCCACATTCTCGCTCTTCCACCGGAACGTGTCGCCGATTCTGTCGTGGAAGAACATACGACCTTCGCTGTCTAAACTGACGAGATCGCCCGTCCTAAAATATCCATCGCCCTTCTTGAACACGTTCCGAAGAATCTTTTTCTCCGTCGCCTCATGGTTGTTGTAATATCCTTGAAAGTCCCTTTGCGTGTCGGCTTGCAACGTCATCAGCAGTTCGCCGATTTCGCCGGGGTTCACATGTCGGCAGAGGCCGGTCTTGGGATCGCGCCAAGGACTATCTGTATCGGGATCTTGCCGTACAATTGCAGATGTAAGTTTGGCAATCTGTCGGTAGAGGATCCCAAAACGCCCGATGGCTCCGGTCGCGAAATCGTTGCGGGAAAGGTTCCACGTCGCTAGATTGCCCTCCGTAGCCCCGTAAAACTCGGCAACGCTTTCGATATTGAACCGCTCTCTAAATTTCTCCCAGATATCTGGCCGTAGACCGTTGCCGAACGCTATACGGATATTGTGCTTCTTATCCATGTTCTCGCCTGTGGCTGGGTCGATCTGTGGCCGTGCTGCGAGCAAGTAACGACATGTCTCCCCCACGTATTGAATCATGGTTGCATCGTGCTGGCGCGCTTCACTCCAAAACGTCTTGGTTGAAAACCTTTTACCGATCGCAAAAGTGCAGCCGCTTTCCAAGCAATGGCTCATACCCATAATAGTAGCCGAGCCGTGATAAAGGGGCATGCACTAGAATGGATTAGATTCTTATGTTGTAGAATATTAGGAGGTGAGTCATACCGTATAGAATACATCGGATATTTTCGTCCCTAAGAAGCCACTGACGAAAGATCCCGCCAAGGTCATCTTTTTCCAGGACACGATGGCGGCTTTCGGTAGCCCCGTAGTACCAGAAGTATAAATGAGAATAGCTATATCTTTAGACACTTCGCCAGAGCGGAGAGAGTCGGACGGTCGTACTGGCTCAGTAGCAAGGACCTCAGCCTTTGCCTCCCCTGTTAAGAACTCGATTCTCAGATCTCCTAGCTTCTCACGGACGGTGTCGTCGAAATTCGTCGCAACCTCTGGATCGACCAATATGAGGACAGAATTCGCCGTATTGACGCAATGAACCAACGGTTGACCGGTTAAGTTATAGTTGATGTACGCCGGCTTTGCGCCGATGGACCATAAGCCGAAGCAGATGAATATGAAGTGATCCGAGTTTTGAAGATCGACGGCGACGATATCCTTAGATTTGACGCCAAACTTCGTCTTGAACCAGTTCCCGTACTTCAGCGCCATCTCGTAGACCTCGGCGTACGTCCATGACTTATCCTGGAAGCGGATAAACGGCCGGTTACTGGTCGACTTATTTTTTGCGGCTTCTTCCAGCGTATAAAATGTACTGCAGCGGTCTTTTCGCTCCCGGTTGATGAGGCGAAAGATGGCCGGCAGAGTGCCGCGTAGCATAGCTCTGTCATACCAAAATCCCGTCTTAGCATTGAGATATGCAAGCCCCGCCGCTGCCACCGGCAGGGAAAGCGCTAAAGAAGCTACAAGGAAGATTAGTACTGAGGGAGAAAAACAAAAGGAAAAAAAAGGCAAAATTGGAGAACCACGTAAGCCAAGTTTGGTGTTTAACAGGTAGCCAACTCCGTCATTCTAGGGACTGCGTTTGTGTTTGGGACTTACTCGGCATGTTCCAGCTTCGGTAAATTAGCTTATTTAGTTGCTTCCTAGAGATATGTATGTCTAGAATTGGGTAGGTAACTAGGCTAAAGAAGCAAAACGTATCGTAGATACAGAAGTTTAGCCACTTAGCAATTAAATATACAAGAGAAATGAAGCACTGACAAGACCGTGAATATTTCGTAGGATAGCAATGCAAGGCAAAAAGAAAACCTGTGACCTATACATGAAACAGAAGAGATAAAAAGCAACTTGGTACGGTCAGGGAGGTAAAGTAAATAAATAAAATGGTACGTAAGGCATGGCGAGGACTAGGAGGTATCAGCTTAACTTACTATCAGGTAGTTTACCAATATCATCCATACCTTGGTGGGCCGAGGTGGCTCGTTACGAGAAGCCTCCCGCAGACTAATAATCCCTGATCCGCATTATATCACCGCCTTGCGGATACCTGGGGCATAGGACATGGGATGTGATCTCGGGAGTACAAGCGAGCTGGTATTGGTGTCCAGTTTATGTATTTTCTATTTTTTCAAACATATATGCGTCCCAACCCGTTCGTTTTACATAGTCATTCATGCTCTGGAAGTGCGTAAGGAGTTGTGTCATGGCTGATCCGTGAGCTGCAAGCTACCCCTCGTAACTTGTGAACCTCGGCTTGTAACGTAGACACGTTGGATGCTGGACGGGGCATGTTTGGCCGAGGCTGCAGAGCAAATTCAAAAATTGAGGACTTGTATCCCATGAGCTTCTTATAATGGTCTAGATCAGGTACCTATGTATGCATGCATATGTCTTATATCGGATCTCGTCCGCTTGGGATGGGAAGCACTAAGCAACCTTCGATCAAGTTCAGGTTCAGGTTCAGACATCTTCCAGGAGGAAGAGCCATTGATAAGACTTTACTTAGGCCACAAATCGAAGCCAAGACTGTTAGCAATTATCCTATTTCGTATGGTTGCTATTAAATCCGATCCAAAGATTGAACTAGTTGGGGTTAATAAGTTGGTTAGTGACTGTACATACATAGGTGGTGAATATTCTAGGATTAGAACATCAATGTAATCCAAGATGAGTCGAGACAAGGTTATTACGACTCGCCTATGAGCATAATTCTCTACGATAGTGGCTTGGAGCATAATGATTGTTTTATCAGTATGCTTACTTCTTTTAGGTTATCGAAGCTACGTATAGTTACATAAAGAAGATGGAACTGATTGAATATTCAATGGGGAAAGCAGCACCGGAAAGTTTCCGCTGTCATTTCTCATTCTACCTAGGTACCTAGGTACCTCATATCTATGCAGGTATCTTACGTATCTCATATACATTTGGAATTTGTCATTTTGCGACACGTTAACACCTTTGATCCTGCACCAACAACGCAATTAAAATCCAAAGTCATGATTTCGAGAAGATAGTCCCGTTAATATACGTAGCCATGTCGTCGTCTGTTTCCGCAACCCGACACGATGACATCTCATCCGAAACTGAACCGGCTGCAGCGATTGATAGAGGTAGTTCTAAGATAAACAACGGCGCAAACCCGCTGTTGACGCGAAAACAGCCACCGCCGGAGAAGCCAGAAGATATTCATAGACGATCCTACATCGTCGCATCCTTCTGGTTTATTGTACTATTCTTAGGGCTGCCGATATGGTGGAAGACAACGACGATATATCGGGCAGACCTACCCCTAAGCCAGATGATGGATTGGGCCGACGGCAGGGTTAGAGCAACCTTTGTAAATATCTAATATATATGTTACTAACTTATCTCTACTCCAAGGCCTGCAGTCCAGTATTCCCGATTAAAATCGCAATCGATGCGCCGACCTTACAAAAAGACGAAACCGATAATCTCGTGCGCATTACACAGCAAGCTCTAGAATCTGCCAACGACTTTAAAGCACATCATATACAGCTCGAAGTATCTCCACCAGCTAGTACACATCTAATCCACGACTCAGACATTGCTCTCACGGTACGACTAAGTCCTGGCGACGCCGCTGCATCCTCCCTCCATTCTCAAGCGCCCATCCTCGAAATCACCTATCCTCCAAACTCGATACCAGCATCCGATGCTGCTTCTTCTGGCTTTGCGACGTACCTGGCAACGCAGCTTCGATTGGCTTTCTCAGAAGAGCGGGAGGTCATGTCATATCTCTTAGCAAAGTCTTCCATACCCTTCGAACAACGGCCTCTAGAAGCATCTCAAGACTCGGCCGATTCTTTAGCGAAGCGAATGACGAGATCCCTAAAATACTCCCGGACCTACCATCTCACATTCTCGTTGTTCACAAGCGGGCCATCTCCGAGCAGCTGGGATATCGAGTCTGCTATAGATGAATACATGAAACCGATATTGGATTTGCTCGGACCTATCCACAACTTTACCATCGATACCCAAGTTCAGCTGTACGCCGCTCCCGGTGTACAATCGCAGGTACTAAGCAAAGAAGATCTGTCTTCTTTTATCAATGCTGCCGAATGGCCACTGTCGCCCTCTATAGGAGGTGCTCCAACGGTCAATTTCGTTGTATTCATCGGCAACCAAACCATAGGAACCGCCTCGGAGGTTGGTACTTCCCAATCTTGGCTTATACCGCAATGGGGCTCCGTATACCTCTTACCACCCCCTTCCACAAGCCATGTATCTTCAGGGGTATTGAAACAACCTATCCTAACATTCGCCTCGCATCTGCTTTCGCTCCTCGGCACACCGCAATCGGGATCCTTACCCATGCAACTGTCGACGCTCACGCGCATCCGATCTGCAGACTTGCTTTTGCGTGCCTCCTCTTCTCTGGCGTCGCTAGCTCGTCTCTCATTGGCTCTGCCGAGCATATCCATCCCGTCTAGCGTCGCTGACGGCGTGGCCAAGTCTATGTACCACCTACAACTCGCATGCTCCAACCTGGGAGGAACTTACGGGCTCGAACACGCCCGCATTGCTGACGTAGAGGCCGAGCGCGCATTTTTCGAGAAGAGTATGGTAGGACAACTTTACTTCCCCGACGAGCACAAGATTGCTGTTTATCTGCCACTGCTAGGCCCTGTAGGGGTGCCTCTGGTTATTGGCCTGTTGAACCAGATCAAGGCCTGGAAGAAGTCGAGGGCGGAGAAAGCGAAGAAAGCATGAGCGGTTTTCGTGGCGAGAACTAAGTAATACGGAATAAAACTGGGCATATAAACGCTCCGGTATATTAAAGTACTATCAACGTATTACCACTTTATCAGTGTTAGTAGCCTGGTATAGGCAGTGAGCACCAAGCAGAAGCAGGCTCATAATCAGAAGCTCGATGCTTAGTTCGTCAATCTTCTTGCGAGAATTGCTAGTCCTAGGGATAATAGCATCTCGGCCAAACTACTCAATGTCGAAAAATAAACCCGAGACACTAGCATATGAGCTACACAGCATACACCCCATAAATGCCACAAATGGTTAATTGTTCTGACATTCTGACAAGACGCTACGCGTACGGAGTTTACACTATATTAAGTAGCATATTAAACAGGAGTTGGTATCTCCTGCAGAATATGGCATATCACTTCAACGTCTAAATCCTCGTAAAAGGCCCTAAACAGCTAATAATAGCACTATACTCTAAAAAAACTATAAAAATCTACTAATTGGATAGGATATATAAAATAAATACGCAAAATAAGGCCATAAACTATAAATATGGGAAAATAACGAATGTATCTATATTAAATACATAACTAAATAATAATAATCGTAGCTATCTAATCAGAAGAATACAACGAATATTAGACCTTTATATGGCCTATAACCTAAGATTACATAATAATACCCTTGCTCTTGGCGATGTAGCACCACACCAGTTCAATATCAAAGTAGTACATAATAAAACAGTAACTTTAAACGTATAGCACATCCACTTTCACGTGAAATAGCCTAATATGCCACCACTATAAGAAGGATTAGGTATGAGGTAATAATTAGGTAAGGATTAGGTATATACCAATAAGCGTACGGCAAAAAAAAAGGAAGGAATCGAAACATACGGTATTAAAATGAGGCTATTATAATTTGTTATTGTTTATTATTAAGTTATATGTGTATGGGTTAGCTTAAAAGGTAAACCTTTTTAAGCTTAACCTTACGCACGTAATGGTACGTAATTAGTTTATATAATTAGTTATTTCTTATATTTTAATAATTATTTATTTAATTTATATTAAAATTAATATCGTTTTTTAATAAATTTATAATTTTACTTAATTATATTATAATATTTATATTTAATTAAATATATTATTTAAATTAAAACTATTACCACTTTTTAAATTAATAATTAAATAATTTAAAATAATATTACTTATTTAATTAAAATTAATAATCTTTTTAAAACTTATTATAATTACATTATTAATTAAAATTTTATTTTAATAAATAAAGCTTTAAATTAATATTATTAATTTAATTTTTTTAATTTTAAATTATTTAATTTTTCCAATTAAATCTTTAAACTTTAACTGTAAAAAAGCTTTAAAAAAAGCATTATTACTTTAATATAATTTATAATTACTTTTTAAATCGTACGAAATAACTAATAAAGCCTTACGTAATATCGTTAATTAATAATAATATATATAATAATATATAATTTTTTTATTTTTAACGTTAACGTTAACGAAATTTAATATTACATTTAACTTTTACGAATTATAAAATTTATAAAACTATTAATAATAATTTTTAAACTTTTTTTAATAGCTTTAATAGCTTTAATAATTTATAATTTAATAATAATAAACGTTTATTATTTTTTTTTAATAATTTATAAAGTAATAAAATTAATAAACTAATGTAATGCCACATTGTTAAAAGCAAAGGTATTATTAAACTGGTATGATGCCACATCGCCAAGAACAAGGGTATTATTATGTAATCTTAAATCATAAACCATATAAAAATCTAATATTTATTGTATTCTTCTAATCAAATAACCACAATCATCATCATTCAATTATGCATTCAATATAAACACATTTATTATTTTCCCATATTTACAACTTATAGCCCTATCTTACGTATTTATCTTATATATCCTATCCGATTAATAAATCCTTACAATTCTTTTAAAATATAATACTATCATCAACTATTTAAGACCTTTCACAAAGATTTAAACGTTAAAGTAATATGCCATACTTTATAGGAGATACCAACTCCTGTTCATTATTATATAATCTTAAGTCATAAGCCATATAAAAATTTAATATTTATCGTATTTTTCTAATTAAATAACCATAATAATTATCATTTAATTATGCATTTAATATAAACACATTCGTTATTTTTTTATATTTATAACTTATAGCTTTATTTTACGTATTTATCTTATATATCTTATCCGATTAATAAAT